AATTTAATATTTTTTAAATTTTATAATCATTCTGATGTATTGTTTTTTCTTTTTAATATATAAAAAATTAATATCTTTTTAATCATAATATACTCACGTCTAAATACATTTGGTGTTTTCATACATGATCGCGCACCGAGCTCTATTATTTAAATATCTCTATTTTATACCACTGTGTAGTTTATATATTAATGTACTCAGCGTTATATATATTTCATTAATACAAAAATATAAGTCATTTAAAGTGAAGTTTATATTCAGCTATTATATGTTGTATATAGAATTGTATCACTTGTGGTTAAAGCGCGAATATAACAGAGCATATAATATAGCAACAAGAATTTGAATAACGAATACATTTCCAACTACATTTGATAACTTGTTGCCCTCATCTAAAGCATCATTTCTTGTTACGTCATTATATAAAATTATATTTACACGTAATTTTTTTATTTTTATGTGATATAAGTTTACTTGAATATATTCATCATTATTGGATGTATTGAAATTCTTCGACCTTAATAGATCAAATAAATATGTAAAACGCGGAAATTGCATATAGGGCTACGATCAACTAGAATCCCCTTTAGGCGTACGCACACATATTCAGACACAATCGGAAGGGACAGAATTTATAATCTAAGAGAGAGAGAGAGAGAGAGAGAGAGAGAGAGAGTTCTACCATATATTAAGCAAAGTAACTTAAAGTCGTAAATGTCGGAATATATCAATAGTTGAACGGCCTGTGTGTGCGTATGTGTGTGCATGTGTGGTCGCGCACGCGCAGGTAAAGATGCATTTTAGTGCATATATATCAGATATGTCTCTCTTGCAGCAACGGCAATCTTTACCGTAGTTATTGGTGAAATCGTTTTAGTTAGATATGCTGTTGACCTCATTTTATTTTGCGGCGAATTAATTAACTTTAATGCACATAGAATGAATATAAAAGTTAATTACGCTTTCATGTATGCTAATATTTTTCTTCGTCGTATGAAATTTCATAACATAGAATTTTCATTTTGATGTGTCAGTTTAGTAGCGATATACATATGCATATGCGCATCTTAGTGCATGACATAATATATTGGTACATTTGGGTCAAGATTGAACATCAACTGTCTCTATCTAATCAGCAAACGGCTTATGAAATTAGATGCTGATCAGAGCTCCCATCGCGATTGATTTAATCGATTCGAATTATATACATAATATCCAATATGTATCAAATATTCACTCGGTCATTAAATTAAAAGTTCTTGTTAATGTAATATTTTATTATAGGTATTAAATTTTATATTATATTTCACTATATGCGAGTATATTAAAATTAGTTTAGCATTTTATGATTTTTATTTTCAGTAGAAAGTCAAAAGAGAGAAGTAATTTATTAACAAGAGATAGATTTTGTAGGATAAAAAGATACAGATGACTTCGAGGTACAGCGTTATTATCCCTGATAATAAATTATTTTCACAAATTCAATGATGATACATAATGAACGGGGGCCATAAAGAACAGGAGTACATAGCACAGCAATATATTTTTGCGTGCCGTTTTCTATCGATCCGACTCGCGTAAGCTTTTGTCCTCGCAATTAATTATTCTTTCATTTGGCGCACCATTTCAGCCAACAAACCAATTGTCATTATATCATGATGCATTAAAACTTATATTACGAGCGCATCGCCCGTATTCGCTATCTGCATAATGTTTTAAAAAAAAGAAAAAAAACCATTTTAACAACTAGCTACATACATTTCGACGACACGCTGCGCGCCTCAACAAATCTCTATGTCCAACACGACGAAGGAACTTTCATCGTATTGGTTCGAAGGAAGCGGTGTCGAATGAAAGAGGAATTGAATCTGAATTCATGCCGCGGGATACAATATGCTTTTCGTAAAGATGGGGGCGTTCTCTATCCCGAGAAAAGAATTTTGCAACGAATTTTACGTGCCTGCCTCAAACAGCGTTTGATAGGAAAAAAAGAGATAAAACGGAAAAGGCTGTCTACTAGACATGAACATACATTCGCGTACGAATAGAACTAGCTTATGTTGAAGTCAAATATGTAACAAGACTACACGTGTAACATACGTATGTATTTATATATAGAAGTGTATATATAAAATATGTATATGTATATATATATATATATATATATATATATATATATATATATATATATATATATAGAAATGTACGGTTATTGCATATGATGGGGAAGAGGAGGGGAAGGAAGAAGTTAATATTCTTAACATGAAACCACATAAAATGCACTGTAAAATGATTTACGTATAATCGGTTTTCCATTACTGCAAAAATTGTATGCACAAAGGGATAAAATTTGCAAGTGCACAGAGATAAATGCATGAGGTCATGTATCTTCGAATATTTAGCAAGTATCTCGAATAATCAGGAGATAAAGATTTCCTCTGTCAAACACACACACATACACACACTCATATAAAACTACTACGCTCGAAGAAGGTAGTAATCGCTGGAAATATGGAGCAATTATAGGTGAGAGTTGTTAGCCGCGGCAATCTTATCTCTTTTAAACAGACACCAAATTATCGACTTAACGTGTAAAGCATCGACCCTCCTCGCAGTTTAGCTGCGATTACAAGCGCTTTGGTATAGTTCAGATTTAAGAAAGCGTCGACGTCCGCGACAAACGTGACGTGTTTATCCGTAAATTCGCGCCTTGAACGATAGTCTTAGAATACGAAATGGGATCCGCGTAAATCTTGGAGTCGTTTTCCAAATGAAATAACCGTGTCGCAGGCACGGCATTTTCCAGATGAGCTGTGCCCGGTGATTTACTGCGACTTTAAATTGCGTTACCGGATATAACAAACATAAAGCAATCAACGCCCCGTTTTCATATCGTTGTCGTTACCATACTTTTCGCCGTCTACTTCTCCGTGTAAACGTAAGACGGTAGAGAGCAATTTAAATAATCCAAGTCCCGGGAACCGAGATGGATTTGCGGATAATATCGAGCCATTTTTCGCGTATTTAGCGAAAAGAGTTAAAAGTAAAATGTTCCTATTGTTCCTTCACGTTTCAACGTTCTCCGTTTAAAGGCAATGAAAATCTTTCGGCGATTATATCGTGAAAGGAAAAACTTGGCGGTGAATTAAACGGCTAAATGGTGATATTAAACTCGCTTCTCGGTTACCTTCTTTCTCTCGATCCCTTTCTTTCAGCTCACTCCTGAGATTATCCTTTTGTGTAAGTAAGGGACAAATGTTAGCCATGTGACGGGATCTTGGGACTAGAAGGTTCCTCCCCGGAGAAGGTTCTTTAACCGCTTTAGCACCTCGCGCAGCGGACCGCGATCGTTAATTCCGCGACTTCTCTCCGGCGTGACTCCCCGAACTTTATTAAAGCCAATTAAACCAGCGACAAACTTGGGGCGAACAGTTGCGCAGATGGTATGTATACCGTAAATGCAAACTCACAATTTGTCGACCCGACGCATCTAATCTTGCGGGATATCCGTCGTAAATTCCTCGTTCATGATGCACGAAGTCGGCCGATGCTCGCGAAACTTCGTTAAAGATATATGGGCCATTTACCTCGTACTAGTGTTCGCGGCTCGACAAAAGCTTAAGGAGTGAAGGAGTTCTTACTGTTTGATTGAGAGCCGCGCGGTTATGCAAAAGTTAGAATTATTAAAAAGTTAGGATAAAATTATAGAGAGTACAAAAAGGGAAGTAATGGAAAGCCACGATACAGCCATACTGTATTGAAAATATATATTTAATTGTTTAAATAACAGATTATTAAACGGCGTAAATTATTGATAAACATTTCAAACGGATTTAAAAATTAATAAGCGTGGATACAATTGAAAATTAATACTTTTATATCGAACAAATGGAAAAATTAGTAGAAGAGGCCAAAATAGGTCAGACGGCTTTGTATATGTGTGCGCGCGCGCGCAATAAACGCCAAAAGAAAGAGATAGAAGAAATTCTATAAGAAGAAAAATACGTCGATTTAAAATAATTCTATGGGAATTGCGATAGAGAAATCAATAAAGAATCTTGAGGAAAATGGGACAAGTGAACAAAAAGAGAATAAGCGATCTCAAGCTATAGAACGGAGATTTCGGAATAAAAGCCAAATTGTACTGTGATGCAGTAGCGCGAATCATACACGATCGTAGGAAAGTCGAAATTCCATTCGTAATAACAGCGCAATTCGCAAGCCAGATAAGATTTCTTTCGAATTTCGATATTTCAATTCCACGGGTCAAGAAGTACGAGATGTATATGTACGTATGAATAATTCGTATATTCTAAATATGCGCGAATATACCGTTTAAATATAAATATATGTACCTAATGTAGTCCGTTTTCATTTTAGCATCAATTTTTATTATAATCTTCTCCGTCTTCTCTATAAATTTACATCCATTATTATCATCTACCAACAGAGAATGAACCATCCTTTTACAAACATCTCTTAAGAAATACCGGAAGATGCATTAAGGCGATCGCCAGTCGGACGGCACACAGGCGCAATTCATCCCCCTGAATATATCCGACCTGGCGTAAAAATCGCCGCTGGCTTGATACCGGCGCAAAGCGCAAAGATAGACGATGAAGAAACGCGACGTACGCGCGGATGACACTAGGAATAGAGAATGCGATAAAAGAGCGCGATAGAGAGTTTAGGGTGGGAAAGAGGGACGAGAGAAGCGTAAGAAGAGGGATGACGAGGAATAAGGCCGACGTACCAGGGTAGTAGTATACTCGGGGTGAAACGGCGAATAGCGCCTCACGGACGGAGGACGGCTAAGAGGTGACGAGGGGACGAGTGTTCGCGCGAGAGAACACGGTGGGCGAGGGGGATGAAAGGAGGGGCGGGGGATTTTGCGAGAAGGGGCCGGGGGTGGCGCCGCGGGCCGCGCCGTCGCCCAGCATCCCTCGTTTCCACCCTCTCTCTTGTAAAGGCGCACCCTCACGCCGAGAGTATCTGCTAGTCATACGCTGGCCCGTTGCGAGCCCGCTGATATAACTGCGCTGCTCTCGTTTCCTCGGCGAGTTGCGTTCACACGCAGTGTTCATTCGCGATTTATATATCTTCGGATCCCGAGTGGCGGATGAGATCTCGTCGATCGGATATATCTACGTTCCGTCGTGTTTGTTCATTTCGGAGAACGAACGCGTGAAGGGCGCGAAAAGCGTGATCGTGTGCGATTCCCGTGCGAGTCTTGTTTCCTCCTCGAGGAAACCGATCGAGTACACGCGTTAATCTTAGCGGTGTATCGATTAGGTAACAACGTCAACACGTCCGGTGATATATCCGGCGAACATAACCGGTGACATCCGGTTGCTCACATGGCCCATGTTTTGTTTCTGTGACCACCTTGCAGCACAACTACGTGGCTCCCTCTCGATCGTTGTTTCCGCTTGCGGCAACGAGCTGCCATCGTATCCAAAGCGCGCGCTTCGACGACCTCGTGTGCGAAGATCAGGGTTCGTCTGTCTCTCTCGCGACAGGCGGATAGCTCGCGGAACGTTCCGCTAACGGCGGGATGCCGGGACAACGCTGGTACCAACAGTGAGATGTCTGCTGATAGACGTAGCGATAGTAGTTGTAGGATCATCGACGCGATTACCGAGTCCTTGATCAACGACGTGGCTGTCATCGGCAGCGGCAACGCGTTAACGTCCAGCGTCTCGAGCGACACTTCTCAATCGGATGAAAGCGTGTGATTGACATTATTCCGAACGGCCCAACCGCTGTAATATCGAGAATTTGCTTCAGATTGCGTTCTCCATTTGCTCTCTCTCTCTCTCTGCTGCTTCCAAACTTTGACGACGAAACGGAATATTCGCGGACGAAAGTGCAACGTTATTGACGGCGTTCGCCGTTACGTCCAGCCGCGGTATAAAGTGCATTTAACGGCCCCGTAATCGTTGAAGACATAGGACGCCTTAGATGAAGAAAGGAGTAGAGTAGAAACGACATTGGGAGGGACTTTATCGTTAGAGCTCGAGAACTTTTATTCCTTGGAGTATCGCTTTTCACGAGATCGCTTGAGATCTTTGACGAACTTACGACGATTGGACAGGGAGATGGATACATTCTTAATTATCGGCATCTGTTTCCTCTGTTATGAGATGTGCGATTTAATAAGACGATACACCGGCCCGCAGGCGATAGAGACACATCATCCGGCGGAGACGACCATCAACGCATCGCCTCCGCAAAAAGTATACTCGATTTCTCGCAAGATTCAAGGACCTCGCGCCTGTTGCCCGCAATAGATCGCGCGTTTGGCTCCGCGAATAATTTTATTTCGAATTGTATATTTGAACATCTCTGTGTGTTAAATTTCGGGAAATGAGTCGTTTTGTGCGAGCTACGAGGAATGAAAGGGATCTTCGCTGAAATCTCAAACGGATATAGAATCTCCGCTGAGCCCAGCTCGAGCAAATGGATGGTTACGTGAGATGAGATGGATTTACAGTTCCGTACAGTGATAACAGATGCTCGTCTCGGAGATTCATGATGTTTACGGAGGTTCGGGGCGGCAACGCGGTCGATAATGATTTGTCAGCTGTTACGTCAACTGAAATATAGACCAACGGATCGACTAGTTCTCGAGAGTGATGAATTCGTAAATGCGAAAGCTACAATTTGCAATTTGTGCTGATAAACGTGTCGCTTCATTCATAAATGTCACGAGCTGGGAGGAGCACGCAAGGTTAAATCGATAAAAAGACACAGCGATAGGATTTTCCTTATTAACGTGATGTGTTAGAATCTGTATTTTTCACAATTGGTGATGTGTGGGCGAGCGACGACAATACGCGATCACTCGACACTTTGTTCGCGAATACCTAAAAATATCAACAGCTATGGGCTCACTCGAGTGGAATTGGTCGCTAAAGTGAACACGAAGCACGTCGCGCGACATGAAAAATAGAGGGTGGGCCGTCGTAAGACTTTTGAGACTCGTTAAGTGATATTGATTGAGTCATCGTATGGCTGATAGTCCGCTTCCGTAGGAAGCGAGGGAAAAGCAAACTTGCTTAATGAACTTTTCGCTACGTGCCTGCGGATGCAAACTCTGACGACGTTTAGTGCCGAACGTCAGTGCAACCGCACGAAATCGCTACGTACGTATAAGCAGAGAAGTGAAGTTTGTTTCGCACGCGTCAGCTAAACCGGCGTTGACGTGTGAATAGGGTGGCGCGTCGTTTTCCAAAATATAACACGGCGTCCTAATATACCCGCATGTCTAACATTCGTAGCGGGAAGGAGAGGTGCGATAAACACAGGTTGCTTTAACACAGCGATTGTCTACGTTCACTGCCCGCAACTCAATCTTGACGTTCGCGGTCGGAAAATTTCTATACATTGTACAACAGACTTACAATCCGTTCGCGGTTGATGCAACGAGTACGTTATAACGCAAGAACATTTCGTCGAGATTGGAGGCGAAAAGGACCCGACACAGCTACAAATGTAGCAGAATTCAGCGAAATTAAACTTTTACTGCAGTTTTGCAGTTATTTACAAAGGTCCGATTGACCTGACCTTTAAGAGGCAGGTGTTGTTAATAAGTTAAATAAGTTTCAAGTGACCCCGCTGTCAGTGAAATAAATTGAAATATCAGTCACACTACTTTCATCTAAAAACGTCCAGTGAAAAGGATCTAATAATGACGAATAAAAGCGCCGAATAAATTAAATTGCCGCGATATATTCTCTTTCTGATGTCGTATAATGTTACTCTTTGTGAATATATATCAAAACCCTTTCCGACGATTGCGAGTGTATTTTCTGTTCAACTCGAGTGGTAGCTCTCATGCCGGAGGATTTAGCGCGACGACGAGAGTCGAGACTTGTTGACTCATCGCGACGAAGAAGGGGAGAGGATCATGACTAATGTTCGATCTCGGCTTCAGAGTTTGATGTTCCAACGCAACGAAGTGACCCCTTTCCGGTCGATATTCCGAGAGAGATCAAAGCGATCCAGAGAAAACATACAAAATTAGAAGACATGGACTCGCTGGAACGTCTAATGAGTTCCCGTCCTCACCATCCGGCTCTCACAACGGCCACGCGATCACAAAACGCCTTTGTACAGGCCAATCTCTGCTCCGTGATAGGCCGCAAAGGACGACACCTCAACGGCACCTTTTGTCTAACCGGGGACACGATGGAAGGCATCATACAATGCCTGGTCTTCCTCAAAGCTTTCTCGGTAAGGGATCTGTTGCTGCTTTACTTTGCTATCCGCGTTTGTTATTTTTTTCTACTAATCGATAAGATTCTACAAGAGATTTTTTTCGATCTTTTCTCACTCCTGTGATTTATATCGGAAGAATAACACAAGATTTGATGCAATAAATTGTGAGCTTTCCATATTAAAAGTATGATTAATTAATGGTCCGAGAGATATGTGCTCGTGCAATTTAGTACTACAATTATTCTTGCTATGTGTGTGTGTGTGTGTGTGTGTATGTACGATATTCTGATTAGATTTTAATCAGAGATTAACTGGATATATAAATGATTGTTCATTTAAAATGGTTTGTAGCGAGCGAACGCTGCTTACACTGATTCTATAGCAATAAGTTATTCCAACCATTAATTCTCGTATGTTATCTCGTTGAACGCGTTTAAGAAACTAGGATTGTCTAATTGCATACCATTTGTCGTATTCCAAGAGAGAGAGAGAGGAAGTGGGGAAGAGAGATTTAGATATCTTTATTACGTGTCACTACTGCTAACTAGTAATTACAATTTATTTTGCTTGTGTTCTCTTACTCTTGCCACATTTAGACGATTACTTTCAGCGTAATAAATTAAAGCTCTCTTTGTAGTCCATTTCATTTTGTGACTTGCTGCATGTGCGTTTACGCAAGTGCGTTTAGGGGTACATAAAAGCGCGAGCGTGTTGCAAAAGTTTTTACGATGTGATTTGCTTTATCATTGAGACGAGGGCATAATAAGTGATTAATTATATTAACAAAGTACCAAAGTAATTTAATAGACTACGGTTTTCCACAGTTTAAGCGTTCAGTTCGTTATTATACTTCATTATTACATGGCGCAAGTTAATTATCATATTTTATATCGGCGAAACTTGTATAATTTTAAATTAATTTATAATTACATTTCTTGAAATTTTTATATTTAATAGATTTAATATATATATATTTTTTTTCTTTATTTTGTTCATACGTTTCAAAGCATTACACAGCTGTTTTATTAATGAAAAATATGCTACAGTAATGTATCATGAAATATTCTTTGCGCGAAAAGAAGACATGTCTCTGAGAAGACGAACAAAGTCTCACAGCTTTTATATAATTGATACCTTTTAAAATAACAAGACGCCTTACATAGTCTTCCCTTTGGAGAAGCAGATGAACAGCAAAGAACACACTGAAGCGAAATCGATAACGAGAATTTGGCGCGAGGCAAAATTATCTTGGAGTGCCGTTCCTGTCGTAAACTGAAAACTGTCGGTATACTAGAAACAGCTTTCTTTACACAAATAGAAACATAATTTGCATCAATTCAACTTTTATCAAGGAAAATTCAATTCGAGCGGAAATTTCTGTGTTTGCATACTAGCGATTGCTTATTACTTATTAGATAGTTGCAGAAAAAGAATATTGCGATGATTGCAGATGTTTATTTTTTTCTTCTAAAACGTACGACTCACTACGTATACGCATCTCTATCATTATTTAACAATTTATATTTTCTTTACTTGTTTGAAAGAACTTGTTGCTGTAACGAGAAAGAAAATATAAGAACAGATAATAAGCGAGAATGTTACGCAAACAATAAAGAGTCTGATACTGTATTAAAGATTCTGATATTATATGCAAATATTTCTTTTAAAAAATGCAATTAAAAGATAAATAATATTGCGAGGAACTAAAATAAATAAATAACACAGCATATTTATTAAAATGTTTCAAAGTTATCAAGGTAAAGGTAATCTATGCTTTACGTTGAAAGATTGATTGATTAAACTTCAAATATTCATGAAAGTTGCCTCGTGAAATATGTTTTCTTTTTGAAATTGTATCGTTGATGGACACTTTGTAGAAAGTTTTGGTCAAGTTATTGATATTCAGGTCCATGTTGTTGAGACCGTTAATTAACGTTATAAATTTTGCAGTTAATATTACAAGTTGACGTTAGGTTTCTAGGCGGTTTTCGTCGAATCGATCTTGACATCGCCTTTCTGCTGCGTAAGATTTTCATCTCAAAAGCAAGTATTGAAAGACGAGCATGCACTTTCTTGAAGCAATAAAGCCTCGATGTTGTTTTCGACTTGCACGCCGATACCCGGAGCAAAAAGCTTGAGAGTAGCGTCTCGAGAGAAATTTAAACTCGGAATTGCGAAAGGAATTGAGCTTTCCTTTGACCAAACTCTCCGCTGAATTGGCGCATGGTCGACTCTACGGAACGTCGTTTTGCTTAGTATCGTTTCATCAATCTCGACCTAATTTAATTTGCAAGTGCGTCCGTCCGCCTCATTAAAGCTCGCACATCCTAGAGCCTTTGATCACTCGCAGAAATTAAATAATACAAATAACATCAAACCGATCCAATCAAACTCGCGCCAATCATCATTGGTGTGTCAGAACATTTTTATTTACACATGAAGATGTATATGAGCGTATATATGTGTATCTGCATATACATACATATATACACACACATGTATATATAAATTCATTAAAATGTAATTTTATTTAGATTGCGAGTATTTGCGCGCGACGTAAAAGATTTTTCCGCGCATCGAAACCGAACCGATAATTCCGCAAGCAGATTAAAGCTGGATGCTACCTTCTGACTCATACGGATCATTAATCAAACGTTTTTTGCCAGTCCATCCGGCTGTTACACGCGGCTGTGCCGATAGATGCACGCGGATGGTATAAAAATTTACAATATCTCGAGAATGAACGCTTTTTCTCGTCCACGTTGCGTCGCGTTTATCGCCACGGTTTACGGTGATAACTTTTTTCCTCGGTACTCTCTCTTGCCGTCCATCGAGGGAGTCTTTGGTACGCGTCTTATATAATCCCTGTCATCGCTCTTGTTATCGACATCGTTGATAATGTGGCCGGTGTAGGTCTACCTCTACCTCTACGTCGAGCGGATGGCGTTTCTGTTCGAGAGGAAGAGCGAGACGATAACATCTCTATGAAGATGCCTATGAATTTTTATCCGATCCGCTTGCGGGGAAACGCGGAGAAGCGATCATTCTTAAAAAAAGAAAATAAATAAGTACTTACTAGAGAAGGACTTGATTGAAGAGACAAGATATTGTCAAAGTAAGGAGTAAAAAATCATCCCTTTCTGTGATTCTAAGAAACTTCGTCATTGTCAGATTTAATTTAATAGATGAAATTATTAAACAATTATATATATATATATATATATATATATATATATATATGTATGATTAAAATTAACATTAACATGTCATGGCGTTATGATAAGTGATAATTTTGTTTTATCTTCTATAAATTGTCGATTCTGTTCATATACATATTGATTCGATTGTATTGATTCCGTAACGATATTATCGGAAACTCAACAACGCTTAATGAATTTTTCATCATTGACATATTCTATTTTAATTGTAATGCACGCTGTACTGAAAATACTTTCTCTTGTAAATATTAATATCTGATTAAAATTCAGCTTAAATATAATTTCACGTTATTTTAATACGAACGAGAGTTGAATTATATTTGTAATACAAATTATTATGTATAATGAGTAAATTCTATTTTCAATAATGATTTGCATCAGTATCTGTAATTTTATTTTTTTCTTTGTTATATATTCATTTGTGTATCATTAATTAATAGCGTCTTTATACAATATTTTACGTGAGAGCATTATGATTTGTAAATTTATTACAGGAATAATTTATATAGGAATATATAATATATATTTGAACCTAATCGAATTATCTAGATTTTGTAGAGGTTTACACATATGCGATATCGTTTGTGATTGCAGTGAATTCTCACCACATCGCGACATATCGTCTTGGCAACGATAAGTCCTGGGGAGAAGTTTATGCGACATAAGTTCTCGCCCTTCCGGGAGGAATATATCGGTCTAGGAGAGCTATAGAATATTCGAGGGACGCAAATACATGGGATTCAGATTTTCTGACCTTAGATTATGAGCGGATTTCACTTTCCCGAAAACTATTAGTTCACGTGGCATTATTCGCGTTTCCTGAAATCTATCGTGTGCTTGCCGGAAATAATCAATACATCAATATTAATCAAAGTATTTCAGCTTTTGTAAATGAATAAAATCACGATTTTTTAACGACGGTAATATATTATGTTATTTAAAAATATTTTTATCAAGATGATAGATAAAATGTAGAATATCACGTAGTTCTGAGAAAATGCACAATTTTTTTTTTAAATAAATGACAGATCGTGTATTATTTATTTTTTTCAGAAATGAATAATTTGGTTACATAATTATTCGTTTGCATCAACTTTGTTGTCATTCATAATGCAATCATATTGTGTATCTACGTTACTAACCATGTACGTCTAATTAGAAATGACTAATAATGATTTTTTTTTAATTAAAATTTTAAAATAGAAACAAGCTCCCTCAAAGAGCTTCAAGCTTTGAAAGTTATATATGAAGCCTGTGTTTGCTCACGAAATAATCCATTGGTCTATTACCGAGCGTGAATGATATCCTCGTCGACGCGGAATCTCGCTTTTCCAGGAAATCGAATTACACTCCAAAAACTCTCTTCTCACCCGGATATTCGATGGATATACCTCTGTACTGTTTGGCGTTTATATTTAGGAATTCAAACAACTCGGGTATATACACATGCGCATAAAATGTTATTCCGTTGAATGAGAAAAACTCGCATATCACGAAGGACTGACTGTGTGTGTTTATATAACAAAAATTTAATAACGTGTAACAATGGTGAGATTGATTGTGCGAAGAATATCGGATGGAGCGTAGTGCGGAATATATTGCTATTGGACTATAGAATTATATCTATATGGAAATTGCCAATGCAATAAATAATTTTGAAAAATTAAGAAATTATATGAAGAACAAAAATAAATAGTATTGCAATTGAATAAATCAATAATAGATATATTAAATCAATTTATTGTAATTGAACTTATTTCTCAGAAACTGTCTGACGAATGTAAGTTTAAATACATG